TTTTAAAAATACACAGTTCATTGTACCACTGTTCAATAATACTACAACAAGGTGAACATTTTTATGAATACAATTATTTCACTATTGAAATTACAAATTTATCCCTAGGTTATCAGAAATCAAAATTCATCTGCGAGTCGAGAGAGAGAGAGATAGAGTTGGGAAACAACGATCCGTGAATTATGATCGGAAAATTCTGATCACGAGTCGAGAGAGAGAGAGAGAGAGAGTTGGCGAAATTATCACTAGGTCATTCTCAATACTTTTCTTCGTGAGTCGAGAGAGTTGGCGAAAAAACTATCCACAAAGCGTGATCGAAAACTTCAGATTTGTTTTACTCGGAAAACGTATGTGATTCGTTATTTTATTTGTTTAAACTGTGATTTGTTTAGCTGAATCTATTGTTGTTACGATTTTGAAGATTTGTGATTTGCGAATTGAGAATCACGAATTACAATTATAATTAAAATATCTATGAATTCATAACTAATCTATCATCAAAAACAAAACAAAAATCTACAAATTTCATAATAAATCTACTGAAAAATAAACATTTCTGATTTAAATCTGTCATTAATAACATTAAATCTATTAGTCAGCCACGTATGCAAAAAAAAAGTATACCAAACTATGAAAGTCTATTGGCTTAGTTATGACAGACTTAAAAATACTGTAATTACTATTTTATTAATTACATCATAATGGCAGCTTTGTAAATACATTTTTGTCAACATATAAAATAAAGATAAAAGGGAAAATTTTAAAAATACACCGTTCATTGTACCACTGTTCAATAATACTACAACAAGGTGAACATTTTTATGAATACAATTATTTCACTATTGAAATTACAAATTTATCTCTAGGTTATCAGAAATCAAAATTCATCTGCGAGTCGAGAGAGAGAGAGATAGAGTTGGGAAACAACGATCCGTGAATTATGATCGGAAAATTCTGATCACGAGTCGAGAGAGAAAGAGAGAGAGTTGGCGAAATTATCACTAGGTCATTCTCAATACTTTTCTTCGTGAGTCGAGAGAGTTGGCGAAAAAACTATCCACGAAGCGTGATCGGAAACTTCAGATTTGTTTTACTCGGAAAACGTATGTGATTCGTTATTTTATTTTTTTAAACTGTGATTTGTTTAGCTGAATCTATTGTTGTTACGATTTTGAAGATTTGTGATTTGCGAATTGAGAATCACGAATTACAATTATAATTAAAATATCTATGAATTCATAACTAATCTATCATCAAAAACAAAACAAAAATCTACAAATTTCATAATAAATCTACTGAAAAATAAACATTTCTGATTTAAATCTGTCATTAATAACATTAAATCTATTAATCAGCCACGTATGCAAAAAAAAAGTATACCAAACTATGAAAGTCTATTGGCTTAGTTATGACAAGACTTAAAAATACTGTAGTTACTATTTTATTAATTACATCATAATGGCAGCTTTGTAAATATATTTTTGTCAACAAATAAAATAAAGATAAAAGGGAAAATTTTAAAAATACACCGTTCATTGTACCATTGTTCAATAATACTACAACAAGGTGAACATTTTTATGAATACAATTATTTCACTAATGAAATTACAAATTTATCCCTAGGTTATCAGAAATCAAAATTCATCTGCGAGTCGAGAGAGAGAGAGATAGAGTTGGGAAACAACGATCCGTGAATTATGATCGGAAAATTCTGATCACGAGTCGAGAGAGAGAGAGAGAGAGTTGGCGAAATTATCACTAGGTCATTCTCAATACTTTTCTTCGTGAGTCGAGAGAGTTGGCGAAAAAGCTATCCACGAAGCGTGATCGGAAACTTCAGATTTGTTTTACTCGGAAAACGTATGTGATTCGTTATTTTATTTGTTTAAACTGTGATTTGTTTCGCTGAATCTATTGTTGTTACGATTTTGAAGATTTGTGATTTGCGAATTGAGAATCACGAATTACAATTATAATTAAAATATCTATGAATTCATAACTAATCTATCATCAAAAACAAAACAAAAATCTACAAATTTCATAATAAATCTACTGAAAAATAAACATTTCTGATTTAAATCTGTCATTAATAACATTAAATCTATTAATCAGCCACGTATGCAAAAAAAAAGTATACCAAACTATGAAAGTCTATTGGCTTAGTTATGACAGACTTAAAAATACTGTAATTACTATTTTATTATTTACATCATAATGGCAGCTTTGTAAATACATTTTTGTCAACAAATAAAATAAAGATAAAAGGGAAAATTTTAAAAATACAACGTTCATTGTACCACTGTTCAATAATACTACAACAAGGTGAACATTTTTATGAATACAATTATTTCACTATTGAAATTACAAATTTATTCCTAGGTTATCAGAAATCAAAATTCATCTGCGAGTCGAGAGAGAGAGAGATAGAGTTGGGAAACAATGATCCGTGAATTATGATCGGAAAATTCTGATCACGAGTCGAGAGAGAGAGAGAGAGAGTTGGCGAAATTATCACTAGGTCATTCTCAATACTTTTCTTCGTGAGTCGAGAGAGTTGGCGAAAAAACTATCCACGAATCGTGATCGGAAACTTCAGATTTGTTTTACTCGGAAAACGTATGTGATTCGTTATTTTATTCGTTTAAACTGTGATTTGTTTCGCTGAATCTATTGTTGTTACGATTTTGAAGATTTGTGATTTGCGAATTGAGAATCATGAATTACAATTATAATTAAAATATCTATGAATTCATAACTAATCTATCATCAAAAACAAAACAAAAATCTACAAATTTCATAATAAATCTACTGAAAAATAAAGCTAACATTCGGACAATATAAATCTGTCATCATACTAATCACCATTCATTACTGATAAATCTACAATTATAATTAAAATATCTATGAATTCATAACTAATCTATCATCAAAAACAAAACAAAAATCTACAAATTTCATAATAAATCTACTGAAAAATAAACATTTCTGATTTAAATCTGTCATTAATAACATTAAATCTATTAATCAGCCACGTATGCAAAAAAAAAGTATACCAAACTATGAAAGTCTATTGGCTTAGTTATGACAGACTTAAAAATACTGTAATTACTATTTTATTAATTACATCATAATGGCAGCTTTGTAAATATATTTTTATCAACAAATAAAATAAAGATAAAAGGGAAAATTTTAAAAATACACCGTTCATTGTACCACTATTCAATAATACTACAACAAGGTGAACATTTTTATGAATACAATTATTTCACTATTGAAATTACAAATTTATCCCTAGGTTATCAGAAATCAAAATTCATCTGCGAGTCGAGAGAGAGAGAGATAGAGTTGGGAAACAACGATCCGTGAATTATGATCGGAAAATTCTGATCACGAGTCGAGAGAGAGAGAGAGAGAGTTGGCGAAATTATCACTAGGTCATTCTCAATACTTTTCTTCGTGAGTCGAGAGAGTTGGCGAAAAAACTATCCACGAATCGTGATCGGAAACTTCAGATTTGTTTTACTCGGAAAACGTATGTGATTCGTTATTTTATTCGTTTAAACTGTGATTTGTTTCGCTGAATCTATTGTTGTTACGATTTTGAAGATTTGTGATTTGCGAATTGAGAATCACGAATTACAATTATAATTAAAATATCTATGAATTCATAACTAATCTATCATCAAAAACAAAACAAAAATCTACAAATTTCATAATAAATCTACTGAAAAATAAACATTTCTGATTTAAATCTGTCATTAATAACATTAAATCTATTAATCAGCCACGTATGCAAAAAAAAAGTATACCAAACTATGAAAGTCTAATGGCTTAGTTATGACAGACTTAAAAATACTGTAATTACTATTTTATTAATTACATCATAATGACAGCTTTGTAAATACATTTTTGTCAACAAATAAAATAAAGATAAAAGGGAAAATTTTAAGAATACACCGTTCATTGTACCACTGTTCAATAATACTACAACAAGGTGAACATTTTTATGAATACAATTATTTAACTATTAAAATTACAAATTTATCCCTAGGTTATCAGAAATCAAAATTCATCTGCGAGTCGAGAGAGAGAGAGATAGAGTTGGGAAACAACGATCCATGAATTATGATCGGAAAATTCTGATCACGAGTCGAGAGAGAGAGAGAGAGAGAGAGTTGGCGAAATTATCACTAGGTCATTCTCAATACTTTTCTTCATGAGTCGAGAGAGTTGGCGAAAAAACTATCCACGAATCGTGATCAGAAACTTCAGATTTGTTTTACTCAGAAAACGTATGTGATTCGTTATTTTATTCGTTTAAACTGTGATTTGTTTTGCTGAATCTATTGTTGTTACGATTTTGAAGATTTGTGATTTGCGAATTGAGAATCACGAATTTGTTTTGGTTAAATTTGTGATTTGTTTCGCTGTAGTTACCGATTTTGAAAGATATGTGATTCGTGAATTGTGAATCACCAATTTGTTTTTCGTTACAATTCCGATTTGTTTCACTAACTCCATTGTGGTTGCCGATTTATAAAGATTTCTAAGCCTTCATAAATCTCTCTCTCCCTCTCTCACTCTCTCTCTCTCTCTCTCTCTTCTCTCTCTCTCTCTCTCTCTCTCTCTCTCTCTCTCTCTATCTTTTTCCCTATGTCCCCAGTTTCCTATCATTTCACCAGTTTTGAAAAACATCATACGAGTATCATTTAGCCATAAGTTTTCCTTTGTTTCTTTGTTTTTGATTCTGGGTGATTTTTTTCATCTTGTTTCGAATAGATAATAACACTGTTCTGTTTAATTTACATTCGAATGTAATTCAAGTTTTGATTTAAAACAGATTGTTATTGTAAAACTTTGTAGATGATGGATGAAGAATTCGATACAACACTGAAATTGCCTGCACGGATATATGAACCCGGGACTGAACCAAAGAACACCATTGTAGTCCTGCAACATTCGAACCTACTCTATGTAGATAAAGTTACAAAGCTTTTAGGAGATTGAGAGTTGCGTATGAAGTGCAAGGATTCGTATGGGCAATCACGTTGTGGGCTTTGTCGGCTGTGCCAGCGCTAGGTACTTCATTTGGGAGTCGATTTGATTCAAGCTTGTCTGCAGGCCCGTTCTGTTTACAGTGGAAAGCCACTCGGACTCGTACTATTTCAGAAGTTTTTCGTGTAGAGCAGATAAACAATGTAAGTGATTCTCAGCTTATTTGATTATAGATACTGTTTTTGATGCAATAATAAAGCTTTACAAAAAATTGTATTTGCTATGCGTTTGCAGGTTGTAGTCAATACTGTTGCTGGAAATCAAGAGGAATATAAGAACCTGGTTCAACCAATGAATCCTATTGACAAGGACTTTGCAGCGGTTGTGGAACTAGTCAGGCAAGGCTACAGATTGAGGAGAGCCGACTGGATAAGCGGCATGTTAGATGTTGTTACTGCATCTGAATACATATTGACACAGCAAGCAAGGAACGCAGATCCTAGAACAACCACAGATCCTCCTCCTTTTACTGACAGTGAAAAACTTGACAAGATACTTAATATGCTTGTGATCTTGACTAGGAAAGTGAAGATCATCCAGCAAGTCTTGGGGATTCCAGAAGAAAACGAAGCAGATGGCAAGCGATCAGAGGTAAAAATAGACAGTATAAAAATATTTATAAAGATGTTTGATTCTGACGATAGAGCATTGTTTGATTTTTTATTTTATAGGAAAATAAAAATTTTTCTGAAGATGGCATGCAGAAAGAAACAGAGTCAGAGAATTCTCGGCGTGAAGCAAATTCAGATGACAGTTATGCTGCCGATGATGATAATACACAAAAACATGGTGTTGTTGAAGAAACAGCTGATTTTGTTGGTGGTGTTAATGGTAAAAATGCTAGTTCTATTGGTATTTGCGATGAAAAAACAGAAGTTTTGTTTCAAGAAACACAAGATCTTGGCGACGAGGAAACTACAACTATTGTTGAAGGCAAAGATGATTCATCTTTACTACTTGTTTGAATCCAAAAATTAATTTCTTATAATGCTTGTTGGTTTATTTTTTTCTGTTGGATACAATGAAGATACAGAAGTTATTTTTCAAAGTACCCAAACACTTGGCGACGATGAAGCTTCAAATGGCTGTAATAATGATATATCTCGTACGACAACTGCAGATTGTGGTGAGAAAAAAAAACCCCGAGGTAAAGTAGAAATGCCAATCTGTTATATTTTTTTAACTTAAGGCTGTGTTCCATTGATAAATAGAGTGCTATATCTCATCTTTGTTGTTATGCTTGTATAGGTTTCATCGCCTATTACACCAAGATTCAATCTTCTTTCCCAAAACAGTTTACAAAACAGCATAAATAAAGACAATGCAGGTGATACTAGCAGACAAAGACAATGAGGAGGTAATTGAAAACTTTTTACCAAACAATTTATGGGATATATTCAACTAGTATTGCTGATTCTAGAGTTTTGAAAATTCTTAATTTTGACTAGGGTATTGAAGCAAATGTAACAAATTCTCAAAGAGGATTATTCGATTTACAAAGTGTGACGAAAAATAAGAAACGAGCTGCAGAAGGATACACAGAGGTAAATGAATTGGTTCCCTGTATTATATGATTAAGTTACAAGTTTGTCGAACTTTTTAAACATCGAAATGGTTTTTTGCATTTTAGGAAGTTGAACCAATATCTAAAAAGAAGAAACATAAAGCATCTAGGAAATGTCAAGCAGATGAAGTGCCAGCAAGAAAAAGCCAGAGAGGACAGGTGCCTTCGATTCTTACACAACCACCTTACACGGGAGCAAGGAAAAGACATCCATTAATGCATCCTTTTGAGCCGGTCGATAAGATGCGAATGGAGAAAATAAAGGAATGGAAACAGTCAAATTTGTAAGCATAGTTTTCGTAATCTATATAAAAGATGTGATGCCATATTTGTAACAGTTACTGTCTACTCATAATGCAGGCCACTGAAAATTAATGACATCACCGTAGATCCAAAGTGGATTACCACGCTGGAGACAGCAGGAAATGCATTTACGAAAGCGGTAAGTTTATAGACATTTGAGTCCTGCAAAAAAAATGTTTTTACTTGAAATTTGGAGCATCTTTAAAATTATCTGTTTTTGTCTTATAGTATATGGAAGCAGCTTTAGAGTTATTGAGGATGCGAAAGAAACAAAATCCTCTTTTGTTTTTGAACAAAAGTGCTTTGATGGTTGGTGAATCGTTCTTGAATGCAATAGACGAGATTTATGTTATTTTTGCAGATGACAAGGACGGGTTTCAATTCGGGACTGAATTCACCAGTCATGGCATAGAGACAAACATCCGCATTATCTACACACCGTTGAGGATCAAATATAAATGCTGGATTGCATTGATCTTTCATCTTGTGAAGAGAAATATAACCATACTGAACTGTGCAACATCAAAGATTTCGAAAGAACAGCTCAATACATATATTGGAGCGTATGCACACACAATTCCTTACATCATTCGCCAAATTACCCAGGATGACATGATGGTTATCTCTCCATTCAGTATACAAATAGAGTCAAAAGAAGTACCACAGGTTAAGTGCTTGTTTGAAAATAAATGTCATCATGTTTCCGTAAACTTTTGAATATGGTGTTATATTTATTTGTCTTCTTCTTTTGTATCAGGTTGCTAAAATAGCAGATACATGCGTTTTTGTATTGAAATTAATAGAGTGCCACTCGATGCGCATCAAGGATTTGACGAAGCTTTCTGAAGAAAACATCGGGGATATAAGATTCAAGCTTGCTGCTTATCTCTTCTCAGAGTTATTAGCACCGTAATTTGCCAAGTAAGGTAAAAAAAACGAGAGTGTGATCTTTTGTAAAGCATTCCACAAAAAAATTCTTACATTATAGATCTAATTGTGTATAGGGACAGGAGATGGAGCAAAGATGCACAGAGGAGAGGAAAAGAGACATTTCCTTTCTTGTTTTCAAATCATTAGTTTGATTTTTTTTCTTATTATGCTAGACTGCAATATCGAAATTTATAGTTAAAAGAGTCCAGTGTTCATTGCTTTAGTGTGTAAATTTGATGGTGTTTGGATCATTATGCCACTTAAACGACACAAAAAACATTGTTGTTTCATTATGCATTTTATAAAGGTTTTTAAATTTCCTTTTCAATCTTTATAAATCTTTATAAATTTTGTCGGATAAAATTTGAAGAAGTTTTAAATAATTATAAAGATTTATAAAGATTTAGTTGAGATTTAAAATACGTTTTAAAATGGATAAAATTTTTTTTTCAAAAAGTCGAGACCCACGGTTACTCGAACCAGGGTGCTGTAGGTATGGAAAAGGGTGTGTGTAACCCCCAAGATTGTGGTGTTTTAATTGTCAATGAATCGAGCGTAAAAAGTAAAATAGAGAATATCTAATGTTTAAAATGTAGGCCCAAACACGGACCCAAGAAAAATCCAAAAAATTGCTTTTATAAAGATTTATAAGATGTTTTAAAATGGTTATAAAAACATTTTCAAAAAGTCAAGACCCATGGTTGCTCGAACCAGGATGCTGAAAGTAAGGAAGAGGGCATGTGTAACCCCCATGGCTGTGGTATTTTAATTGTCAATGCCTCGAGCGTGACAGTTAATATAGAGATATATGTACTGTTTGAAATGTAGGGCCTAGAACACGAGCTCAAGAAAAATCAAAAAATTGCTTTATATAAAGATTTATTTGAGATTTAAAAGACGTTTTAAAATGGTTATAAAAAGATTTTCAAAAAGTCGAGACCCACGGTTGCTCGAACCAGGGTGCTAAAGGTAAGGAAGAGAGCGTGTGTAACCCCCAAGGCTGTGGTATTTTAATGGTCAATGACTCGAGCGTGACAAATAATATAGAGATATATGTACTATTTGAAATGTAGGGCCCAAAACACGAGTCCAAGAAAAATTCAAAAATTCCTTTATATAAAGATATAAAAGATATTTTAAAATGGCTATAAAAAAATATTCAAAAAGTCGAGGCCCACGGTTATTCGAACCAGGGTGCTGAAGGTAAGGAAGAGGGCGTGTGTAACCCCCAAGGCTGTAGTGTTTCAATTGTCAATGACTCGATCGTGATAATTAATATAGAGATATATGTACTGTTTGAAATGTACGGCCCAAAACACGAGCCCAAGAAAAATCCAAAAATTGCTTTATATAAATATTTATAAAGATTTAAAAGACGTTTTAAATTGGTTATAAAAATATTTTCAAAAAGTCGAGGACCACGGTTGCTTGAACCATGGTGCTGAAGGTAAGGAAGAGGGCGTGTGTAACCCCCAAGGCTGTGGTGTTTTAATTGTCAATGACTGGAGCGTAATAGTTAATATAGAGATATATGTACTGTTTGAAATGTAGGCCCAAACACGAGTCCAAGAAAAATCCAAAAATTGCTTTATAAAGATTATTTATAAAAAATTTTAATTCCTTATCGGAAACCCCACACCCCATCGTGTGTTGTGTACGGCTTAACTTCTTTGCCAAAACTAAGAAAAAGCCAAAACTTTTCCCATTCTTCGCCAAACGTATCTTAGATAATCTGTAAAAATCTACAAAGGTTTGTTCTATCGCCTTTAGTCTCCTTCTCACTCTCGCTCTCCATCTTTCGCGCTCTATTTTTGTCTGTCTTTCGCTCTTTCTCTCTCTCTCTCTCTCTCTCTTTCCCGGAAAACCTAATTTCGTAGTTGAGATTTAATTTATTGTATTGTGAGCACAGATTTATAATAAATTATAAGGCTTTATGAATATATGTTCACCAATTTTGCGTCAATTTGCTCGGTTTTCAGTTCTGGGTAAATAAAAAATGAAGTTTTTAGTCACCAAAAAATGTTGGGCTTTTTTCCATATGTTTCAATTGACTAACAGTTTAGTGTGTAGAATCCTTGTGAAGTGATTGATTAAGCAAACAAAGTTTGGTTCTAATAGAATATGATTCCTTTATATTATTCCGTTTGCTTTTATAAAACTTTTGCAGATGATGGAAGATGAAGTGCATACGACACGGAAATTGCCTCCAATGATATATAAGTTAGGAACTGAACCAGACAAACTGGGTGTAATCATGCAACACTCAAGCTTCAACTTGGTGCAAAGAGTCGAAAAGGTGTTGGGAAAAACATTGTTCGCCAAAATCGAAAACTCTTATCTCAGCCCAATTGTCAAGCTCTCAAGGAGAGAGGACATTCAGTTTTCTGGAAAGATCTTCCACTTCCTTATGCAAAGAAGAATTTTGACAAAGGGAGAAGACTTGTGGTTTGCATTTGCAGACCAGCTGATGAGATTTTCTCTAAGAGAGTTTTATCTAATCACAGGATTGTGTTGTTAGGAGCCAGAACCAGAAGAACTCGAACCCAAACAAAACCCAACACACAGGTTTTGTGAGAAAGGCTTATCTTTGGATATTGGGAGAAAAGGATAAGTACACTGTGAAAGGTTTGATAGAGCTGCTTGAAACCAGAGCGAAAACTATATCTGACGAGAAGAAACTTTCTCTTGGAGCTGCTATATTGACTCATGGGATTATAATCGCCAAGAATCCAACGATAAAGGTGCTGCAAGAGAGTCTGCAAATGTTTTTGAATTTCGATAGATACTCTGTGAGACCTTGGGGGAAGATGGGATACGAGGTCCTATCTGCTAGTATATGCAGGATGCAAGCAAAAACATTTGCGAGAGGTCAGTATGAAGTGCAAGGATTGGCATGGGCAATCACGTTGTGGGCTTTGTCGGCTGTGCCTGCGCTAGGTACGACATTTGGGAGTCGATTGGATTCAAGCTCGTCTGCTGGCCCGTTGTGTTTACAGTGGAAAGCCACTCGGACTCCTAATATTTCAGAAGTTTTGGATGTGCACTATTAATGGGATGTAAGTTTCGTATTGTGGAATTTTTTAATATTGCTTACTTTGGTTTAATTAAACTCTTATAAATGTATATGCTATGCGATTGCAGGTAATAGCCAATACTGTTGTTGGGGATCCAGAGGAATATAAGAATCTGGTTCCACCAACAAATCCCATTGACAAAGACTTTGCAACGGTGGTGCAACTTGTAATGCAAGGCTATAGGTTAAGCAGATCCGAGTGGATAGAGGGAAAAGTAGATGGTGTTTTAGCATCTGAACAAATACGGACACGACATAACAGAGGAGCGGAGCCTAGGTGAACAACACGTGAGGCTCCTCTTGTGACTGAGAGTGACAAAATTGACAAGATGATGGAGATGCTTAAAACCTTGATTGGCAAAGTGGAGACCATAGAGGCTTTTGTGGGGATTAAGGCAGCAGAGGTAAAAAAAAGAATCTATTAATCCCGTTTAAAATGTTCAGTTAGTTTTCGGGGCTTTGACAATATGTTTTATGATTTATAGGAAAAACATCATGTAGATGGTGAGGATAACAATGATCCAAAAGATCCTGAAGATGGCAAGGATAACAATGATGGAAAAGATCCTAAAGATGGTCAGGATAACAATGATGGAAAAGATCCTGGAGATGATGTTATTGATACTAGCGACAGAGAAGGTAATGTTGAAGATCATGGTGAGGATAAAGATGTTACAAATGGTAATGATGGAGATCGTACTGGCAATGTTGATGCGCCTATTGATGTTAGCGATATCGATGAAGATCATGGTGGCGGCGGTGAGGCTACCAATGTTGTTGTTGGTAATAATAGTTTATGTCATGTGTATATGTTATTTTATAAAACCAACTTTAAAAACACGGGAATTTGTTCTTGTTTTTTGTACAGAAAATCTCAATGATGATGAAGGTGATGAAAGTCATGATTCCACCCGCCATGGATTTGCTTTGCGACCACCACTGACGGATGAAGATGTTACCGTTCAGTTGCAACAAGGTGGAGCTCATCCAATATTCCACCCATTCCAGCCATATCTTCTATCAAGGAAAACAAGATTAGATGAATGGAAGAATGCAACTAACCAGAAGTAAGTAAAGTTTACATATATGTTTAGCTTAGTTATAAGGAGAGATTTACAAATATCTTTTGAAATGTAGGATCTTGAAATATTTCTTGGACATGAAGTAAATGGTGATCGGTTTTTAAACCTCCAGACACCAGGGACTGTAATGACCAGACAGGTAAAACTAGAATTTGAAATCTCATTTAAACTAGAAGTAAATGGTGATTGGTTCTTAAACATCAATTTTTAAACATCTTCCAAACTTTGGGTGTGTCATAATTCTTTCTGCTTGTGATATAAACTTATTGCAATATCATTCACTTTGTTATCTTTGATAATACGCATTCATAGTTTAAAAGTAAAAAGTTATATCTTTTGCTTTATTGCAGCATATGGAGTCTGCTATGCATTTGCTTCGAACAAGGAGAAAAAATAGTCCCAAAATTTTTGTAAACAGTAGAGTTGCCATCTATGGAGTACATTTCCTTCTGACACTCAAACAATGTTGGGAAAGATGGCGGTGGAGTCAGAAGTGGTACAACTACGACAACAAAAGCATTGAAGGCTACATCAATGGTACATTGCCGGATATTGGCAACACAGGGAAGAAGATGATCAAAGACATAGACTATGTCTATGCGCCAAAATGTTGGCATAACAAACAGTAGGTTGCCGTGATATTTGACTTGAAGAAAGGGTTGGTAAGCATATGGGCCAGCGATAGATACCCAGACAGATTATCAGATTATGAGACTTTAGCAATCCCATATGCACAAATAATGCCTGACTAATCACAAATGTTTTATTGGCTGACTAATCACACATGTTTTACTCTAGGTAAGCAATTTTCAGGACACAAGTTTATATACTTTCAAGTTCATAGAGTGCCATGTGAGTACGATGACAGACATGTCTAGGCTCTGCGTTGCAAAAATTGAACAACTGAGAATTAAGCTGGCGGTTGACTTATTTTGTGAGGTATTTGATAGACCTTCTTCAGATAACCAGCGTAACGATGCAGCTGGAGATGAGTTACCACTTGAGTCGCCTAGTGAGAGCAAAAAGTCAAACAGAAAACTGAAAGGGGATTATCGTAGAAGCTCTATGAGAAACAAAAAGGCTAGAGTATGAAACTGTTTGTCCTTGTTTGTTTTAAAATTTCTTCAGCTCAAAAACTTGTAAGCTTCTTCTTTGTTTTTTTCCTCTCTTTT